CCTGGAGGTCTAAACCACGCCCATAGACTTCTATAGACGGAATGTTAGCTACGACTCTGGGCAAGAGGGGTTCTGATATTCGGGGCGCGGAGGCACTCATCTGACATCGACTCTTTCCGGTGAGATTCGGTAATATTCGGTTCACATTTCCAATCCCCATCCAGGATCATCCCCACTCCAAGTTGGAGGGGATGATTCGTTCGGCCACGCGCGCGCGCTCGCTCGCACTCAAGCAACGCGCCGTATATACGTGTGCACACGTATTGGAAATGTGAACCGAATATTACCGAATCTCACCGGAAAGAGTCGAAGTCAGACGAGTGATCCCCTTACCGCGATTATCAGTTACCCCTCGTAAAAGGGTCCGTCTATAGAAGTCTATGGAGTATAGCGCCTACCTCTGAGGACAACGCTCCGGGCGAACGTTAAGTGAATGCTCAGTTTAAATGCGGCGGCCGAGTAACACGTTTCGTCTGACCGTACTCCGATGGTTCTCGTAAGTAACAACAACATTGCAGTTCGACAATGGACACCGAGTGGCACATATTGGCTAAATATTGGTCCAATATCGGTTATATTGAAAAGTCCTGCTATAAATCTTTTTCGAATGCAAACAGAATAATCTATCGAATATAGCGTGTCAGTTATATTATGGTACGATCACAGGTTTCACTGTCTTTTGCATAAGATATGTGTATTACACAATAAACCGTGTGCAGTACGTAAACTCGATGAATATTACAAAATTATTCTGAACAAATACTCCAAAGACATTATTCGACGAATATTCTACAAACGTTCTTCTTTGTTACGAATATACGATTTCTCATTGTAATAATCCAGATATGTTTATGGAATATGCTAAAATGAAGAATATTTGCACTCCGGGAGAATATTCATAGAACCACACCCAAAAAAAAATTCTATTCGTAAGCGGGAAATCCTCTAAGCATTTCCTCTAAGCAAAGAAATCTTATATGAAGCATTTCTCACTTACTTTAACACTATATTTATCTATAAAAGAGTAGACTCATAAGTTAGAATTAAGATTAATTTCCTGTATAGAAAATTCCATTACAGTAATACGACTAGCCTCTTGAAATAAGAGGATACGCAAGATATTCGCGGACATGCGAGTCGCAGCACGTGCGTCAGCTTCTGAGTAGTTCACCGACCGCCGCTAGGCCGCGCATGGTGGCGGCCAAAAACTCGGAAGCAAAATTCAGTCTCGTAGGGTATAAAAGGAGGTCCGCGAGAGCATGGTGGAAGGGATAACATGGTGTGCTCAGTTCGGCTAAACCACGCCTACTTTTGCTTTGCAACGGCTATAGATTCCCAGGGCTATCAACCGTGAAAAGTAAAAAACATTTAGCGTTGGCAAGTTGGGTATGCTGCATCTATCGTCCTTGTTTCACGCATTTCTTCGAGCGTCTTAGTTTCTCTTTCTATCTTTGTACACGCGATGGAAAAAGGGAAAAAGTACCGGACCGGTGAAATATTTCGACAAATATGGGAGATACGGAAAAGTCTTTCAGACAAAAGTTATACGGTTTTAAAAGGGCTACATAATGGTAAAATTAATTTTCAAAAAAAATTAATTTTTTATGGTTATATAGAGGTCGCCGTCATTTTTTAAATGGAAATCTCTATTGTTTATTATACTATCTTATTCTACTAATTAATATGAACAACTATTGTCTGAAAAATTTTTTCAATTGCCTAATACTTTTTGAGATACTCAAGAGAAAATTTATAACTTTTTCAATGTTTAGCTTATAATCTCTCGATAACTGTTTGTCGGAGGGAAAAGTAGTACAGGACTTTTTTACTTGATTTAGTCTCAAGAATATGCTGTTGCAATGGTGTTTCAATTATTGAAAATTTTTGTGTATTGTAACACAAAATTTTTCAATAATTGAAACACCATTGCAACAGCATATTCTTGAGACTAAATCAAGTAAAAAAGTCCTGTACTACTTTTCCCTCCGACAAACAGTTATCGAGAGATTATAAGCTAAACATTGAAAAAGTTATAAATTTTCTCTTGAGTATCTCAAAAAGTATTAGGCAAATAAAAAATGTTTCAGACAAAAGTTGTTCATATTAATTAGTAGAATAAGATAGTGTAATAAACAATAGGGAGTTCCATTTAAAAAAATGACGTCGATCTCCATACATATAACCATAAAAAAATCATTTTTTTCGAAAATTTATTTTACCATTATATGTATAGACCTTTTAAAATCGTACAATTTTTAGCTGAAAGATTCTTCCGTATCTTCCACATTTTTCGAGATATTTCACCGGTCCGGTACTTTTTCCTCATCCTGTATATTTTTCATATTATATCATGTTGGGTTATAAACAATTGTGGTTGTTATAAACAATTTATTATTTTACGGCTGTATTAATTATATTAATGCAATATACAATATGTATATTTTATTTTATTTTTACTACTAATTTTAATATTACATATGTATCAATATATTTTTAACATGTTAGTAATTTAATAATTAATGACACTTGTATGTATCATACTGGTGAAATCCTTTCACTTATTTCATTTTGATTATTAACACTATCATTGTTCATTTAATTTTTTTATTAAGCCCGCTGCAGACGACGCTATTTTTCCTGCTGGATTGCTCGCGATTTACTAAATTACTAGGAATCCTGAGTGCTGAGTGGTACAACGATGTTAATTTATTAGATTGCAAACACTCCAGCAGGAAAAATAGCACCGTCTGCAGCGGGCTTTAAATATTTGTTTTATCAGAGAGATCATCAAGGTTAGAAAGAGAAACTCTGATGCATTACAGAGTGCATGAAACAAGGATGGATTTTAGCATACCAACTTTTCGACACTAAATATTTTATTTTTCACAGTTGGTAGCCCTGGGAATCTGTAGCCACAAAAGAGACGGAGAGCGCAGATATTTAGAGAGAGACACCGTCGAACTGAGCACACTATGTTATCCCTTCCACCATGCGCGAGAGTGAATTTTGCTTCCGAGTTTTTGGCCTTCACTATACGCGGCCTAGCGGCGGTTGGTGAATACGGTGAATACTTAGAAGCTGGCGCCCGCTCGCGTGTCGCGTAGTGCCGGATTTCCAATTTGTGCCGGATCGCGCGTTGCAACCGCCACAAAAAGATTCCTCTAGCATTAAGAGGATATTCGTTTTAAAAGAAATATATAAATACTAAAAATAAGAATATTTGCATATTACAAGAAGAAAAGATTCCTCTAGCATTAATTAAGAGGAGATTACGAGTTAAAATTTCATGCCTCAGTGTAATAGCCCAAGGAGAACAAAAAAGTCAAAATGATGTCAAAATGATGTCAAAATATAATCAAATTTTAGTTCGTCAAAATGATGTCAAGTTGCATAAATTTTTGATGCTTTCTTGATGTCAAAATCGTGACATAATTTTGACATTAGTTTGACCATTCGTAATATGATACCCAGATAGAACATAAAACTCATAATGACGTCATTATGACTATCACAATTTTATTTATCACATAAAAGTTATCTGGACATATCTAGAAAACTTTTAAATGTTGAATAAAATCATCATAATGTCATAATGACGTCTTTATGAATTTTATGTTCTACCTGGAATAGAGACATGTAGATAGTAATATACATATAAACGTTATATTTGACTGCTTATGATATATTTATTACAATTATTACATTAATCACAAACATTAGTATATCAGAATTTTACCACATTTAAAATTATGAAACGTCTGATATTGCGACACATAATTTCTACGTTGACTTTTATTATTAACGATAGATATAAGATTAGATATAACTTGTGCAAAGTTTATAAATCAATATTATACGCAATTTATATGTATACGTTACTGTAAACAGCATAGAATTTAAGGTATCACCTCTTATTGTTCCACGCTGCACCAAAGATGGCAGGATGTTCTCATACAATGGAACGCCAGTGATATGATTAAAGGCTTTTATTTATCGTTAATAAAATTCGTGAATAAAAGTCAACGTAGAAATTATGTGTCGCAATATCAGACGTTTCATAATTTTAAATGTGATAAAATTTTGATATACTAATGTTTGTGATAATGGTTGTGATTGATGTAATGATTGTAATAAATATGTCATAAGCAGTCAAATATAACGTTTATATATTACTATCATACATGTCTCTATTCCAGGTAGAACAGAAAATTCATAAAGACGTTATTATGACATTATCATGATTTTATTTACCATTTAAAAGTTTTCTAGATATGTCCAGATAACTTTTATGTGATAGATAAAATTGTGATAGTCATAATGACGTCATTATGAGTTTTATGTTCTATCTGGGTTGGGATTATTGTTAGTCAAATCAAGACCTTTTTATGACTACTTTTTATATTACACATTTTTATAATAAGCATTTATACAGTCAAGAAACGTATCACATTTTCTAAATATTAAGAAAAAAAAATTTTTTTTAAGAAGTCAATATAAAGTCATTTTTAAGTCATCTGAAATTAAGATTTTTAATCATGACCAAAAAATGACATAAATTTGGTCAATTTGATGTCAAATTGACATTATTTTGACTTTTCTGTTCTCCTTGGGAGGATATTCCTCTAGATTTTAGAGTATCTTCTTGAGACCGTATTTCATAGGAAAATCCTCTAAAATCAAGAGGGAACCACGCAAAAATAGAATACTTTTCTTTGGGTGCATGTGTGCTATCTGGCTATGGGCCACGAAATAAATGCAAATATCGCACGATAATAATTATATAACGTTAGATTTATATAGGAAATGCATTGGCCAATATTTAGCAATATAATATGAATATCGGTCTAATATTGATACAATATTATATCAATATTTCTAAATAGATAGATTGGCTAAATAAGAGGAGGCGTCCCTCGAGCCTTACAATATTGGACCAATGGTGGAAATATTAGATTTAGAGGAAAGTCCTCTATTATAAGACAGGGTTCTTGTACGAGATAGCAGGTTTTAAACATTCAAATTCAATCGCAAATCTTTTTTCGCAACGATTACGCGATCCAACGTTCAATTTTCCACTAAACAGATTTCACTCCAAGGGCAATACATTCACAGTGGAACCAACGGATGATGCCTGTTAATTTAACAGAAACTCCGCTATCTCGTATTAGAAGCCTGTCTCATAACAGGGAACTTTCCTCTACATATTTTCCAATATTGCGCTAATATACTGTGCAACTAAGGTAGTTAAAAAAAATCGTGAGTCTTCGAAAAATAAATTGATAACATTCGACTCCTTCAGCGTTCCCTTTCAATTCTTCCCCTTTCCGTAATGTATCGCGTCGCCAAGACGTTTTTCGAGAAGTGAAATATATAAATTTCGATTGTTACGTTTTTAACGACTGAATGAACATTCATATTCTTTGCAGATCACTCGACGCAACAATTCCCGGCGCGATCTAATTCTGAGATAATCGGGACGACACTAACGTATCAGCCATGAAGCCAATCCTGTACAAAGTCGAAACGTACATCATGCCCGAAACGGAGAACTTATCGGTGATTAATGAGATCGATAATCTGACAGCCGGGAAGTTTAGTCTCAGCAGCGAAAGCGTGTTCAGAAATAACGCGCAAACCGAGGAAGATGCGTCGCACGCTTCGTACATTAAATGCGACGAATTCGCCATGTTCTCTGCCGAGAACAGCAAGCTGATAGGTATAAAAATCGTGAAAATCGTGAAAATCGTAACGAACGAGACTCTCAACGACGAATATTGCGATGAGGAAATCTTAAAACATTATACCAACGACAATTTTTGTCGTTCCAAGGAGCGCCTGAGCGTGCAAAAACCGGAGTTTCAGGCGTCGATTGGGCCGCAGGAGGCGTTGTACCCCGCGAGACAATTCAGCCGAGTCAACAGTTTGACGTCGATTGACGAGAAAAGCGAGAACTCGTTGGACAAGCTGGCCGACCTGTGTCATCACGGCTTCAAGAACGGCTGCACCGCGTCGATCCCGTCGCCCGAGGAAGTCAGCGAGGAGGTCTTCAGGAAGAATTGGCTGCAGAAAATCGAGGTCCTGAGACATCGCGAAGCCATCCTGCGAGAGAAGGAGATAAATCTGCAAAAGAGAGAAAGGGAGCTGTTTAGGAGGGAGAAGGAGCTGAGAATCGCGGAGAGAATCTTCAATGATAAAGTCAGACAGATAGAGCAGCATTTAAGAGACCAAGAGTACAAGATAGTGGGAAAGAGGCTGGAGGCAGCAGCGCGAATTTTGTACGAGGTTGAGAAATCCGACTATCTATCGGAAGAACAAATTCCGAGGAAAGAGGATACTTCAAAAGAGGAAGAGATCGCGAAGAAAAAAGAGCTTCCGAAAAAAGTAGAGATTCCGAAAAAGGTAGAAATTCCAAAAAATTGTCAACCTGTCGTGACGAAGAAAGAAGATGTTTCGAAGAGGGAAGAGGTTCC